GGGTTGAATAAGTAAGGTCTAGTTGGCTCAGTTACTTAGCACTTGTTGGACAAACTCTTGTTGAACTATCAATTTGCAAACAGAATTGATGAAATAAATCCATTAAGGGGTATTGCATGTATGCTTGCATTGCTGCCATCAACTGGTTAAGAATGAAATAAGAATAGAGGGGAGAATTGATACAGAAGAAATGTCAATTGATAGCTACCGCTTGCCATAACAGGGATATGTGAATTACGTCTCACCGCCTGATGCTTGCACCGTGGTGAAACCTCCACCAAAAGAATATGCAGGTCTTTGGATTGCTCTTGTGCGAAGATCCAACTGTTCATTTGTTGACAAGGTTATAAATGCCCAACATGCAGGATATGCAGCTGTCATAGTTCATAACGTTGGATCTAATTCTTTGCGTAAGTATTGCATTCTTGCTGTTTGTTTGGTAATCTTTGTGAATTTGTTGTCAGTTTTATACTCTATAAAAGGTTACATTCTTCAAAACTTGTCAAGGACATGTGATACATTAGACACCTTTTGTATTTTTATTACAAAATGGGTACAACAATCTATCTACCTTTGTTGTCATCACAAAACAAAAGAGATGTGTCTTTTCTCTAAAGACACATCACTTACATTTCTCTAGCTTATATAAAGGTAAAGTTCTTGCCAGTGTTACACATAATTATTAGCTCACATGTGCGTTTTTTAACTGATGTAATATCCTCTTCTTGACACAGAACCCATGAGTGCTGACCACAGTGCAGAAGAGGTGGTTGTGCCGTCAGTGTTCATTGGCCAGGATGACGCTATTATGATCATAGAGAACTACCTGTATGATAGAGGGTATGTGTTCGAAGAGAAAGGAACATGCACGAAAGCATTTATTAGGGACATTTTGTGTATGGGTGTCAGTGGGAGGGAGAGAGTGAGTGTGAGTGATAAAGTGAGAGTGAGAGAGAGTGATAAAGTGAGAGTGAGAGAGAGAGATAAAGTGAGAGTGAGAGAGAGTGATAAAGTGAGAGTGAGAGAGAGTGAGAAAGTGAAAGTGAGAGAGAGTGATAAAGTGAGAGTGAGAGAGAGTGATAAAGTGAGAGTGAGAGAGAGTGATAAAGTGAGAGAACGAGAGAGTGATGAAGTGAGAGAGAGAGAGAGTGATGAAGTGAGAGAGAGAGAGAGAGAGAGAGAGAGAGAGAGAGAGAGAGAGAGAGAGAGAGAGAGAGAGAGAGAGAGAGAGAAATAGAGAGAAATAGAAAGGTATGCAGATAGTTAAATGTTGATGGTAAAAGTAGAAAGAAATAGAAGAAAAAATTGATTATCCTCAAGAAATCTGACAGGTTTCAGGAGCCAGCTAATGAATAACAGTTTGATTTGTTGATATATAACACTAACTGCTTGTGATATCAGACTTCACTGATTATAACATGGAATAAATTCGAGAATCAGACATGGTTTAATTTATTGAAGGAAAACAAGAGAAAAATGTTTCAAATTATTTGTACAAAAATGATCCATTTCAAAAAATAAACCTAAAGTTTTTGACAAGTAATCAGTTTCCGCTTAATTTAGGCCTGCGGTGCCAGTATTTCCCCCCTCTTCGCTACGTACATGATTCCTTTGTGGTGGTATTAGTCCACGCCAGCCAGCCAGCCAGCCATCTAATTATCTTTTGCTACCCCCCCCCTCCTGTAGGTACACCTTGGAGATAACTGATGACCTGCCTTTCAACCTGCAAAACTACCTGGTTCCCTTTGCCATTACCATAGGAATTTGCTTTATAGTAATGCTCACTTTTATGGTAAGTAGTGTATGCTGAATGTTGAGTTTGACTTAGGTTTGCCTTCCTGTTTTTCTGGCTTGATTGCCGAGGATGGTGTAGGGCGGAGTAGTATGGCATGAATAATGTATTTTGATAAGTAGATCTTCTCGTTTTTAGTTATTTGATAACAGATTTATTTATTTGTGTATATATATGTATATATATATATATATATATATATATATATATATATATATATATATATATTTTTTTATATATATATATTTTTTTTTTCATACTTATCTTGTAGTTTACATTTTTGTGTATGTAGTCTTAGATGCATAGTTTGTTTGTTTACAAGTAGATGGTATGTAATCTATGAATATGTATGTATAAACCTGTCAGCAGGTTTATGTACTGTCCATTTTAGAATTTTGTGAGTTTTGTTACATACAGATGGCTCCACATGTGCTCAGCCACCAAGGAGTCTATCAGTTGGCTCTAGTGACTGACCCTGATTTCACCATTCCTTGAATTGGCGGAAAAATGTGTTTTTCATTTTAATACTATAAATATGGACATTGTTATCATTCTTATTGATATTATGATGATTGTTTTTTAATTAGAATATTAAAAACATCAAAGACAATAAAATAGTAGAAGTGAAGCTTTCAAAAAAATCAAGGAAAAGGGTAAACAGGAGAGAGCTGATTCCTTGGTGACTAAGTACGTATAGAGCCATCTATGTGTAAAGACAATAGATAAACTTTTATTACATTGGACATGGCATTGTAGTTTTACCATCCATGCTAATTGGGTTAATTATCTCAAGAAAAGAAGAAAAAAAATTATATATGAATAAATATGAGTTTGTATGTGTAGAAGGAATTGCTTGACATGAGCATTTTAGGTGTGCCCTGTTTAGAAATGGTGCATTTCCTTTCTAGTGAAATGAAAAAAAGTAGAACTATTTAGCCGTAGCATTTCCTTTTTATCGTATTTTTACTTTGTTGTTGTTATTATTGTTATGATGAAGATTTTTTTTGTTATTAGTATAATTATATGTATTATTATTGTAATTTTGTTGCTGTTGTTATTATTATTATTATTATTATATTATTAATGTTTTTATTTTGTTTCTAATTACACACACATGACAAATATAAATTAATGCAACTTTTGGTTCTACCTCACATAGTTAACCTGAAAAACTTATTTTTCATGCACAAAAGGGTCTATCAGCTGATTCTTAAACCCCTGTTGGGCCCAAATGTCGACTGGACTCCTTATATACTTGGCTACATTGCCCTTATGTTGGGCTTACTTATATCTTTTTTCATTACCATGGTATGATATGATGATGTTACTGAAGCTTTATTTACGGCTAAAGTATTATCTAATCAGAGAAATATTGTTTGTAAATATGATTGAATAGTAGTGTAATGCATAGCACTTGCACAGGAAGTGAGTGAGGGTACAGATGTATTTGGCCCATTGATATTGGGTACATACCCTGTCCATGGTGCTTTTTAATTCATTAATTTTGTTTATGTATGAATGGCTTCACAAGCACCTAGTCAAGATAGAGTCTACTAAGCCTGCTTGGTCTCACCTGTTTGCCTTTTCTTTACACCATTGCCACCGGGGAAAATGAACAGAAAATGGGGGAAATGCAGTACTCATTTTTTGTGAAATATCTTTGTCCATAGATAGCTCTGCTTGTCCTGATTTCACCTTTCCTTGAATTGGCGGGAAAAAACGTATTTTTACTAGTGCTATAAATATAGATGCTGTTATTTTTAACAGCAAATTAGGATAACATTAAATATTTTCGTAAATCGATGAAAAGGGTGAACGGGCGAGACAGGCAGTACTGTAATTGGCTCATTGGATACTTAGTACAAGTGTAGCCATCTATGTGTAAAAACAATCGAACAACTTGACTCACGGTGGTCATGGCATGTACGTACATGCCATCCCCGGCGGCAATGGGTTAATTTCGCAGAAAGTTTATATTACAATAATTACCATTACTAACATATTTTTAATTATTATCAGGACTATTATTGTGAACTCCAAAGATCTAGATGATGTGACTATCACATTATTGGCTGGGTGAACTTTCTGTCATGGGAAAATATGGCTTTGGGCTGGGATAATGAGAACTTGCCCTTGTGAGCATTTTGGCTGACTGCGGGGTTTGACAGGACTGACTTGCACAAAGTCCTAGGAAGGTGGTTAGATTTATTTGGCATTTAGGAAGGGGCTTTTGCATTATTTCCATAGATAAACAAGTGTAGAATAAAATGTCTGTGACCCATGATGTGGAAGATCACTGGTTCTAGTGAGGATGCAATTGGTACTGCTGGATGTATTACAAGGAAAGCAGTCTATTACCATCTGTTCCTTCATGCCCGGCCTACAAGCCACACCCCTGGTAGTGTGTCCCCTCATGTAAGCCTAATGCCCATATTTTGGGCCATATGATGGCACTGAAGGATCAGGATCCATTGGGTAACTTCATTGATAATGATACTAGTAATGAAGATACAACTTCTTTGTTCTCTAAATTCAAGGAATGGAGAAAATGGGTGATGTCAGGGAGGCCTTTGAATTGATTGCTTGTTGACTTTTGTACTTCTGTCATTACTTATGTGCAATCAAGATTAATGAAGCAAACCTATTGGATAGTGTGATGAATGTGCAGTCCTGGCATCAAGTTTAAGCATTATAACTAGTGATACGTGAGAAATGAAAGGAAAATAGGTATGGATTTGCTAGTAAGATTGATTAAGCTAAATTTATTTGAAGGCTTTTCAGTTTGCTGTTATGTATAGTATATTATACTGATTATTATCCTGTTCTCCTATATTGTAGTATGTGAAGGAAGTAATATTGAAAACTATATATTCCCTGATTATATCCACACTGACTTGATTAATTTTGATAGAGATTTATTTATCAGAGTATCCAATTTAGTTATAGATCAATATTATTGTTAGTATGGTTTTGTTTATTATTATTGTAGGCTGTGACTAAGTAAAAAATGGTCTTTTGAATAACCAAATTAGCTGTATAATATTATTTTCTTCTTTTTCTTCTTTTTCTATTGGTTTCATTCATATTTGATTTTGGGATTTTTTTACATATTAAGATTTTCATACTGGTACTTTCTCATATGTTGCAACATTTCTTAATGAAATTAGGAAGATTATTTTTTTGTGTTATGCTTGCATTGCCTTATTAAAAGAAAGTGAAATTATGATTCACATATTTTTATACATCTAGTCCAGAATATGTATCTTTCTGGATAATTACAAATTCCTAATCAACAGATTGTCAAGTGTGTGCGTGATTACCGTCGCTCTCGTCGTCACCGCCTCTCGTCCCGAGCCCTTAAAAAGCTGCCTGTTCACAAGTTCAAGAAAGGCGATCCATATGAGTGCTGTGCTGTCTGCCTAGAGGATTATGTTGACAACGACAAACTACGCATATTGCCTTGTTCTCATGGTTAGTGTTCCTGCATTTGAGAAATTATTTTGAAAATAGAGCATCTATGTGATTATTTGGATCTATTTTGAGGGTCGTTACAGGAAATCATGGGTTTCAGGTGGTACACACATTCCAATTTCAAAGTAGTTTTAAACAATATCCTCTCCACACCACCAGCTTACCACACCAAGTGCATTGACCCATGGCTGACCAAGATCCGCCGAGTCTGCCCAGTCTGCAAGAGAAAGGTTTTCACAGGAGATGAAAGGCCTTCAGACCTGGAGAGTGACTCAGAGGATGAAAGTAGTCCTCTTATAAACTCTGAAGGAGGCACACAGGGAGGAACTTTCAATCAACAGAGGGTATGCGAATTTAGCAATATTATCATTATCATTTATTAGTGTGTGAGTATGTGTGTGTGTGTGTCTGTGTCTGCGTCTGTGTCTATGTAATTGAAGTTCAGTTTGTTTTTACTCTTTCAAGTTTTGTGTGATAATCCCCTTAAGTTTTCTTTGACACATTACCCCAGTCTTGTTGGAATTATTAGAATTTTAAACTGTTATTATCTTGTGCAATGAACATATTTAATTTCAGCATAACAAAACAGACTTCTAATTTTGTATCCACAGGAAAATCCATTCCAAGAAGCTGAGCGCCTGGCAGAGGAAAGGCGACGACAGCGAAGAAGGAGAAGAGCCAGTTCCCGCAACATAGAGTGTGGACCGGAGGGTTATCAGCGGCTGGCAGAGTCAACAGATGAAGATGACGAAGAATACCAGGAAGATGAAGTAGAAGGTGCTAGTGCAAATTCAGAACAAAATATGGGTAAATTGGAATTAATTTGTTTATTAGTGTACCTGTTTAGTAGCCCCCCACACATTTATCTGAGTACCCTCTTTTCCTTCTTGGATTCCATTGCTGATATGAAATATTTTGAGGTATTCAGGATTTACTTTTATGATCTGGTCCTGGTGACTGGCAAGGACTCGGTTGTAGTTTTAGGGTTTTATTTGTTGACAGTGAAATTGCATAGTAACAAGAATTATAATGTGGAGTTGGTTATGCCCTTATTACTTGATGAGGTGAAGAGAGGCAAAGGTGAAGGTAAGCTTTTAGGGTGTCTCTGGGGTATGTTCAAGTAATGCCTTTGGTGGGTTGGTGTTTGGAGCTGATGTCGAATATCACAAGAGTTCTGAAGTGTTGGATACACAAAAGATGTCAGGCCTTGACAGGATAGAAAGAGTCAGGTGTCATGATTATAGATATACAGATGTGTTTATGTTTGTCCCCCTCTGTTGCTCTTCCCTACAGTTGATAGAAAAAGAGTTGGAGCCAAGAGGGGGGAGGAGAGCGAGAGTGGAGAGGATGACCGCATGGAGTCACCGCATGACCCACCTAATGTTAGCGTTATTATTCACGGTGCAGGACGACACTCAGGACACACAGGTAAGGGTGTTTGCATTCTATTGTGCCAGGAATTAACTCTTTCTTTCTTTCTCTTTTTCTTTCTTTCTTTCTCTTTTTCTTTCTTTCTCTTTTTCTTTCTTTCTTTCTCTTTCTTTCTTTCTCTTTTTCTTTCTTTCTTTCTTTTCTTTCTTTCTTTCTAGCACCACTGAGAAAGGTATAAAAGGTTATTCATCAAGAGTTTAACAGAATATCTCAGAGCTGGCAAAAATACAAAAAGGTTTAAACTTGAGGTCCATGCATAAACACGGCAACCCTTGTTACCTGTATTCTAAAAGCAAATAACCTAGTATCAGGCTGAGAGTGTAGAGGCTTGACATGTGTCTTAGGAAAAGCAGCTGTTCTCAGCATAGGCTAATGGGATATTCATACCCTAATGCCATCCAGAGGTAAAGGTTTAACACAATGCCACTGGGGAAAATTAATAAAATTTCTATATTTTTTCACATAGATGGCTCTGCTTGTTGTTTAGCCTTGAAGGAGTCAATTAATAGACCTTGTGACCTTACATGATTTGAATTTTACTAGTGCTATGAATATCAAAGGTGTTATTTTTATTATAAACATTATAATTACTATAATTATACATTAGTAACGGCAAAATAAGATAACGTAAAATATTTTTCGTAACTCAAAGAAAGGGGTAAACTGGCGAGACAGGCAGTACTCATAATTGGCATTGAGTTAATTTTGATAAAAAAATATATATATATATATATATTCTTCAATGAGTTCAGTATCACTGGAATAACTTTCTCTTAATAATTAAGCTCTCTTGAACAGATACAACAAGCCTAGCAAGCAACCACAGTGCAACATCCCAAGGCAGTCCCCCAGGGCCTGTGCAGATTGCAGTTGATGTGGTCAATTGCAACCCTGCTGCCAGCTCACTGCCAACACAACCTCCCCATGTGCCAGAAGATGCTGGTTCCGAACGAGATTATGTAGTCTGAATCTCTTTCTTTTTTTTTTCTTTTTTTTGAGGATCATAAATTCTTGTATTTTCTTGATATGCATTTTCTTGTGCATAATCAGCAGCAACAACATTAGTAGTATTAACAATGGAGACATCCTTTTCTTTTCTTTTTCTTTTGTTTAATCTAGTTATTCATAGATAAGGATATTCAGATGAGGCCCTACTGATTAAGGAAATGCCTGTGCACGAGGCATTGGTGCTCTTTTGTTTTCCACATCATATATTAATGGAAATTGGAGGTATATATATGTTTTCATACCATCGTGGCGTCGTAATTGAAAGCTACATCATTTTTCTCAAATTAAAGAAAATGATTACACTCAAGTTGGTCCATTTTTCAAGGGAACATACAGATCTCGAATGAGTGCAGTGCGAGTATCTGCCGTGCGTTTTCTTTGTCGTCATTTTGAAAGGGATTGAAAAAGTGAAAATAAGGGTTTAGGGCATATCTCCTTGTTGCTATTGATAAGTGAGCTTTTCATTGTCAAAGGTAATTGTGATGTGAACAGACGTGTATTCGTTTTTGTTGGTTGTGTTATGTCATTTAATTGCCTGTCTCTCATCAAGTGGAAGTTTTAATTAGGGCTAACTGTAGTCAATCCTGTCATATCTTCCAATACACTGTGTCTCAAACTAAAGTGATATATAATGTAGATGAACAGAGTAATACATAGAAATTAATCCATATTTTCTCTATACTCTGAGTCTAATGATTAGATCCAGTTATCCAAATGTATTCATATACAGTACCGATAAGTAGAGTTGCAAATCCTTATTTCTGTCAAATTGAAGTGATTTTGAACAGGAAAGTTAATGCAGAGTTTTATTTTTATTTTATTTTTGATATACATGATTAAGATTTTTAATTTATGTTACATGATATTAAATCATGAATGTTGTCATTATTATTATTATTATTATTATTATCATCATTATTAAAATTATTATTATCATCATAAATTTGTATTTATTAAAGAACTTTTTAAAATTTCTATTACCACCAGATTTGTGCAGTAGGTTACCTCTAAAGATTTTATTGCAAAAAGTAAAATCAGTATTAATGGACTGTGTTCCATTTTACGAAATTGTCTGAGTAAACATGAACCACAGATCAAAATTTCTAAATGTGACCAAAGCTTAATGTATCTTTAGTTTTATTACTACTGTTTGGCAAAATGCAGATACTCCCAGCTTTATTTGTGATCATTATTATCAGTATTGTTGTTTGTTTTTCTGTTTTCTTTTTTTTTTTTTTTTTTTTTTCTTTGTTTTCTCTCTTTTGAGGATGGATTCTTTTCAAAAGAATCCCATGAAGATTTTTTTTTTTTTTTTTTTTTTTGTCTTTCTCCTTAGCCAAAGTAACCAAGTGAGATGGGGTTCACTCACATAGTATTTACTTGAGATTTTTGTTTTTAGATTTATGTGTGGATGATGATCTCGAAATGTCTAAAATAATGAAATCAAGATGATTTTCTTCATGTAAAGATGTAAAAAAATAATGTATATAGTGGAAAAAAGGAAGAAAAAAAAAGATCTTAATACTTGTTTAAGTAAATTTTCGGAGTTTGGTGTTGAATGTAAATATGTTTAGATCACGTAATTGTAGTGTATGGAAGAGGTTGTAATACTTGAGTCCAGTACATGTTGTGATTTTTTTTTTTTTTTTTTTTTTTTTTTTTTTTTTTTTTTTTTTTTTTTTCTTTTTTTTCTTCCCTTTTTTATGTATTATCCACTTTATTTCCTCTTTTCTGTATAACATAAGCAGCTCAGTTGTGAACAGAAAGCCACTACATTCTTGTTTTGTCTGTAAACGTGCAGTGTTGAGGTTCACGGACACCATAGTAAATATTTAATGACTTACTTCAAGAAAGTCGAGAGCTGGAACCTTAGATAACGAATTCCTTCCTGTGCTTGTTATTTGTGTAAGTATTCAGATATGCATTAAACTACAACCAAATAGGAATTTTATATTCTTCTTGATGAGTAATTCTAAGATTTGTTTAGAAGGATTTGAATGCTGAAGTATTGCTGAATTATACATTTAAGAAAGAAGGTAAAGCAGGTATGTAATTTTGTCTATGTACGCTGCAGTTTCTAATTGAGCATATAATATTGTGTTTTCTAATTGGTATTTTTGTACTGAACTACTCTGTTGATAAGATGTGTATGAACTATAGATTTAAGACAGTATTCTGTGACAGTCCATTATTTTAGATTTAAACTGAACAGTTTGAAGCTTTAGATATGAAATTATAATGTTATATGCATATAGTGCATCTGGTGTGATATGTAATAATGTAGATATAACTTCGTATTGATAAATATGTTTACATAGTTCATATACCAGTGTCATGACCCCACCATTCAAAATCTCTGTATTGTAGTTCATGTTTAGGTTTCTGTGTTTGATTTTTTGTCAAAGTTGCTGGCTTCACATCCATGAAAAGGAAATCAAGAATTGTAGTCATTTCTTCTATAGATTTTCTAAACTACACAATTGAGAAGCCATTGTAATAATTAAGTTATATTTTCTTTTAACAAATGGAATACAGATGTTTTTCTCACACATTTGCAAACAAAAATCATATAGTTTCGCTGTTCAGCAGTCGAATGAGGATGGAAAGATTGAATCATTTATATTTATTGGTATCTTTTGGGTGTTTAAACTCCTAATTGAAACAGAAAGAAAAAGTAAAAGAAAAATTTCCAGTCAACTAGTCAGTCTGTATTGAAATAAGTATTCATAAGATAAAGGAAATTAGAGAGGCATTACGCAACTTGAAGTCAAGCAGTAGACTCCAATCCTCTCTGTCTTTTGTTTAGAATGTCTTTTTTTTCTCTCTCTTTCTCTCTTTCTTTCTCCTTTTTGTTTTTAAGCTCCTCTTTGTATTTACTGACATTTACATCAAGTTAAAGGATTAACACAAGACACTTGTGCAAGGATGGGGTGTTGTAAGCTCATTATCTGTCAAATAGCAGAGCCAGGCAGTTATGAAGGTATTTAACAATATAATGTGGGGGAAACTCATTCATAATATGTTGCCATGATTTATGATGAATAGTTCTTATTAGTGTTAGAGATGTAAAAGCACCTATAGAGTCCTATTGATTATTGTAAACTGAAAAGAAGTGTGAGGAGTCTGCTGCTCTTTATCATATCTTCTATTATTTCTATAAAACAGTCTTGCCAGGCATATACTCTATTTTCCTTTTTGTGAAGCCTTCCTGTACTAATCCAGTCTGTCTTTCCTTTCTGAATGCTTTAGTATTCCAATCATGAAACTTCTTTTTAAGCTTGGAAATTATGTTACTCTGAGACATATATATTGTGCAAATTTTATTATTATATATATATAGAATAAAGTAAATTTCTTTTATTAACCTTTGTTTTAATTATACCAATGTTGTCTTTATTTGTAACACATATTTTAACCAATTTGTCATAGTGATATCCGTGTTTACAAATACCAGGAATGATTTTAAGGTAGGAGTACACTGTAACAAATTAGATTGTAGTGGAAATAGATATTTATGTGTGAAGTGGAATGTAACTTCCAAACAGAAAAGTTTGAAATGTGAAATTAACAACAGAAATTACACCACCTATCATAAAATTGGATGGAAAAAGTATTTGCAATGGTGTGATGAGCTAACAATTTGGATGTGATGGATCCAACACTGAAAGGTTTGAATAGAATACCTAGAAAATGGCAAGAGGCAGTGGAGACCAAAGAGCTGAAGGTAATTAAGTATTGGAAAGACAAAGACTGTAAAAGTGGATGAAGAAAATTTCAAATCTTGCTATGTCTCCAGAATAGTAAAAAGAATTTGATTTATGGGTAAGTGGTGGAGTAGTTAGGTACATAAGGTATTCAGGTATACTTGGAAACTTCCAGAGAGTGATTGACTTAGTTGGTTTAGTGTGTTGTGGAAATAGTGGTAACAGGAAATTAGAGTGGAGATCTAAGAATGAGTCAGGAAATATGTGTTTATTTATATAATAATTATTAATTTGTACAGTAAGTTCCCAACTTAAGAACATAATGGGGACCAAGAGGCTGTTTGTAAGTTGATTTGTTTGTTTGTCGAATGTCGGGTCTCCATTACCCTTTTCCCATTGTTTTAAAGTTTTATTTACATTAAGAATGCCTGTAAATAAATCCCAATAAGTATGACATACCTTATACAGTACCAGACTCTTGAACTATATTTGTGCCCGGGAAATTTGAAGTTTGCTAGCATCTTTCAAACAATTTTTTGGACTTTAGTACTTAAAAAATTTTGTTTGTATGTATGGAATGTTCATATGTAGAATGTTCTTAAGTAGGTGACTATCTGTATATAATATTTATTAATTTGTATATAATATTTATTATTTTGTATATAATATATATGTACATGTGGTAAGAGATTTTTGTTATTTAGGAGACATAGTAGATGAAACTGTGTCCAATAGCAGCAGAAGAGCAGTGTGGAACAATTTTGAGATGTTTCATGAAAAAGAGTAACACTGATGTGAAAGGGAACACTATTAAGCATGTGACAAAGGCGGATGGGGAAAATTTAGAAACTGCAGAAGGGAGAATATTTAGCAAGGTTTAGAAAAGTAAGGTCAGCTTCAATATCTGTGGGCAAGATAGCAGCTTTATATTTAGCAAATGTGATTCTGTAAGGAGAGACCGTATCTATCTATAACAAGCAAGAAAATGGATCTCATTAAGGACAATATTGTATTCTGTTAAAGCTGATGGTTTTGTTATAGCCATTTTCTTTGTCTCTCTCTCTTGATATATATATATATATGAACATTTAAGG